TGCAAAATTCTACGTATACAACCAATCATTCGTGTCGATTCGGATCTTTCATCCTACGACATGATTAAATGATCGGAGGAACATAAAAACATGCGACTCACCAATAGATGCGAAGTATCTGCATTGCCATCAGCACTGTCGTGGCCCATGGAAAATCATTGTAAGGACTGGGAAATATCTATAACAAAACATGAAATATAATTTACAAATGTGATAAAAATGAAATTCCATAATAATAATAAAAATTGAAATTGAATAAGAAATTCAAAAATTAGAATCCTTTATTTGATATTTGATTTTTATAAAATGACTCTATTTTTCAATAAAATAAAAATGGAATGAAAATTTAAATAGAAAGAAAAATAATTACCTATTTTTCTTGAATGGCTTATTTTCTTCAAAGAATCACTGAATCTACCATACCGAAAACAAATATTTAAAATAAAAAAATAAAAATAAAAAACTATTAACACATCTGTTTGTAGTGTAATCGACGAACAAACACTGACTCTAATTTCGCGTATAACTATTATAATTAAATTTATTTTATGCTCTAAAAAACATTTAAAATACTATTACGAAACAAACACTGATTCTACTGACCACATTGCGCGCAGTCACAATCTGGAAACAAGATTGCATTAATAAGCAGAATAATATAGAAAAATACAGAATAATATACAAAATAATTTCATTCTTTTTCATATCGTGCATTTATTAAAAAAAAAATAATATTTTTGAAAAAATTATATTATAAATATTTATCATTAGAATTAATAACATTTTATCCATTAGAAATATATAGTATATTAAAAATATTCAAAAATTTTTAGAAATTATAGAAATTTCATTAGAAACGTAATAAGTCATATATTATTTCAAAATTTTCTATTTTTATGCTAATATATTATTAATTAATATAATAATTATGAATTATAATATAAAATTACATATTATATAATATATATAAAAAAAACATATTATATAATTAATAATTCAGTAAAGAAAGAAAACAAAAATATTTACATACATCTTTTTTGGATCCAAAAATTTAAATTTTACTTTTTTTTTTCTCCATAAAATATGCTGTCATCATGGCGTCTATATATATTAAATCCTTTTTCCCACCTATAAATGCATCAATCAACAATGTTGTACTTATCTGCGCAAAAAAAAGTAAATTTTTAAAATAAATGTATAAGATATATAAGATTAAAGTGATCGTATTAAAATAAAAGAATAATTTAATTCAAATCTATTTTAGAAACATCATTTATGATAATGAATCAAATAGTCCAATGAAAAAAAGAATATTATTCATCAATCAAAGAATTATCAATTATAATAATATAAAATAAATAATTAAATAAACGTGTATATTAATGAAATATTGATATAAAATAAGTGTAAAATAATGCAATAAATAAATCTTACCTCAAACGAAGCGTCTAATCGTCACGAATTTCGACAATGAAATAACACTCCGCGCAACGACTTTGATGTATCGAATTACAAATGGCGGAAGGGGGGGATGCTCAACAAGTCGAAACCTGTCGAGTGTAGTACGAACGCGAATCGTCAATTTTTTAGAATTATAAGAAATATTTTCCGTCTTGGGGCCTTGAGCATAAAATCAAAACAAATACATAAATACAATAGAATACGATATAAGTTGAATGTATGAATAGACGCAATTAGGAAACAAATATGTATGAAATATGTATGTATGAATTGATCGTAATAACTATTATTTTTATTTCTCAATCAATAAAATGATAAAAAAATTTATAATAACTATGTTTTAGTTAGAAATAAATAAAATCTTACCACATCTGCATAAAAGTCAACGAAGAATCCTATACTTTCGAAACAATACTGTTTCGATCGAAGCTTCGATCAAATGATGATCTGCATAAAGACGACAAAAGGTCAAAACATGTTTAATTTCGATATAATAATGATTAAACAAACACATATTAATTAAATAATACTTGATAATATATAATTATCACTTAATAACTGCAAATATACACTAATGTAATGTAATTATACACGAACCGGTAAAAAGCAACTTGCCATCACGACTTTTAAGTGTAGACTCACGTCATGCGCACAATAATGCGCAATAGCGTCTCGGATATAGCGTCAGATTGAATATTAGCGGCTTTCCGATTGGCTAGAATTGCCTAGTTCTTTATTATAATTTCGCGCGAAAATTAAATTATATATTATGTTTTAATTAAGTGCGCATGATCGAAAATCAAACTTTACCACTTCTTCGTGGCATCCATATTAAAATTTTTTCCATCTTCGAAGATAAATCAGTAATCGACTAATAAGTTATATAAAAAAAAAATTTGATGTTCAAATGAATGTTTAAAATAAATAAAATTAATTAATTAAATTAAAATAAAAAAATAATTAAGCACAAATTCCATCTTAGAAAGTTATAATATGAACTTTAATTGTGAAACAAATGAATAAAAAGAAAGAATAACTTAGCCAAAGAAATTCCAATTAAAATAAGAAACACATATTAATTATAAAAAATAACTATAGAAATAAATATTATGGAACAGATAAATCACATATTTCAAAATAATACGTCTAAATATGACAATTATCGACATTACAATGATACCATGTAGTAATTTGGATTTATCGAACTACAAATTAACAAAATGTATCAAATTCGATAAATCGAAATATATTGAGCATAGCAATACACATAAAAAAACACAAAAAAAAAAGACAATAAGAAAAAATAAATATAATAATAAGAATTAAGCATCAACGCCATCTCTAGATGTTTTTAAAAAAATCAAATCAAAGAAATATCTTTAATCTTTAAGAGATGGCGTTAAAATATATTTTTATCCTCTCTTTATACTTCTCTTATTATATTCTGTTCTTTTTTTATGAATTTCATTTATAGCACTTGAAGATATGATTTTAATCCTATCTCTATCTTTGTCCCATTTTTACTTTTTATTTACTTTAATATATTTATATATGTAAGTAGTATATACATTTATATTTTATTTATAATTTTTTGTCTTTTTATATCTTCTTTTGCAATGAAAATATGATAATTTAAAAGGTATAAAAGATAAATATGAAATAAGATAATAAATTATTTCCATACTTAGTTCCATATTTAATTCAATTTTTATAATTTATTTTTTATATATACATTTAAAAAATATCAATTATATATATATAAAAATATCATACCAAAAAAGCATATATACATTTACTGTATGTAGATAACATATTGACAATAACTTTCCATCCGTCCATAACAATGTGTCTATATTCACGAATAAAAAATATTTATATATTTTATATTTAGAATTTTAAATTATATAATTTTAAATTGAATGTATTGAAGCATTCAAAAGATATAGCAACCAAAGCAGAACAAATATCTTTCCTCATCCGATAACTACAGCTCAGCGGGCAAAGTCAAATATGTAGACATATCGATAAAGATTCTCTCTATATATATAGACACTAAAAAAACAAAAAATATGAAAAATATTTAAACTAAATAATTTGTTCAATATTCTAATTCAATTTATCGATATAATATATAATTCATCTATAATACTATAATCTATTAAATTGATTAATTATATTTAATATGTTAATTTATTAATGTTAAAAATAATTTCTAATAATCATCGATATATATTTACAAACTAAAAAAAGATTTATTCTTGTGATATTAATTTTCATATTATAAATATATTAAAATTCCAAATTCTTTAACACGATCAATCGAGGTTATGAACAATAAACATATTAACAAATTAACATTAATTTTTAAATTCATTAAATTTATAAATCTTTAAAGAATATCATCTGAAACAATAATAATTTGTATAAAATTAATAGAGTAATTTATATATATAAGAAATAAACAATATATATATATATAAAAATTCATCGTAATCAGAGTATAAAAGACTCAAAGGTGAGAGAAGAAAAATAGAAAGGGAATGAAAGAGAAAAAGAGAAAGAGAGGAGAAGGGGAGGATGGTGGAAGCTGGCTGAATATTTTTACCCAAGCCTGTTAACTACACTCTGTTATTTTATCTCACGTACGCAGTTTTTCCACCACTACCATGCTGTTACGCAGGAATATAAGTTTTAAGGCGTGTTTTGATAGCGTCAGGGTGTGTCAGCTGGGGCTTCCTACCTAATGGATCACTTCTTCGTTTATTCGTTCATACTTTTTGAAGTATATGACCCCATGATACCGCGAACACTCCGATAATTTTAGTTATATCGTAATTATTGATAGAATCACATTGCAAAAGAGTCAACGAAAGAATAGATTTATAGAATATGTCGAAAGTAAAAATCAATTTTTACCTTCCTTTAGAATTTCTATTCGGTTATAAAACGAATAAAAAGATTATCGTTAAAATTCAATCGATACACAATTATTATACAAAATTATTAATTCCTTTGAAAAAATTAAAATTGCAATCGTCGAAATCGAACTGATGACAAAGTGTTGACAATTGCAACTCTTATCACACCTAAAAGGTGTGAAAAGGAAAAGGATAAAAGTGGTTCATCACGAACGTATATTTACGTGAAACAATATTTTCGTTGGCTTTAAGAAGGTGGTGACAGAATATTTCTCTCTCCCTCTCTTTCTATCCCGACATATTTCGGTACAAAGCACTAGAATGATACAAGAAATTGTGAAGACACCATCAATCGTCGACTTTGCATTTAATGCTCGATATACTTACATTACACGTATGAATATCATATTATTATTATTATATATTGTTTCATTCTTTAGTCCTATTAGTCGTATTAAAAGAAAACATAATTTTAAAGGAGTAATGAAAAAGAATCGTAAAGCAGTATAATACTTATGTACATTCAAAAACAAGAATGAGATTAATTGATTTGTTAAATAACAAACCATGTTGTGTTAGGTTCACCATGATAACCAAACAACGTTACGATTGTGTTCAGAATATAACTCGGTTCATTCAGTTCCTCTTGCTATGTGGCATCAATTTCATTCAAACAATTCGTAGACAAAAATAGCCAAGAAATTAAACATCTTTCATCTAAAATTATTATCTTATATTATCTTATTCACGTATAAAATTTTGATTTCTTCTTTTTTTTTTTTTTTTTGAATCCAATTTAATTTGCAAACCCATTTTTCGATCCCATTTTTATCCATCCTTTATAATCTTCCTTTTCAATTATTCCGTAATACATTCCGTAGCGTAAAAATTTGTAGCGTAAATGCGATTAATCACGAATAAACTGGCTTCCAAAAATCCATTTCACGTAGCGTTCACATAGCGACGTCACGTATAGGGAGAGCTGCAAGAACGAACGTTGTTATTACAGATGCCACTCGTTCAGGATCCCGGGGTATATTTCAAACACAAAGAAGCCTCCTTCCAATCCGGAAGAGTGACGCCTAATTTTCGAGATCGTGAGTTTATAGATTTCTGAAAAATCAGCGAGGCCGATACGTTACCGATTATGGCACGCTCGTCCAAATATAACTTACCAACCAACAGCATGCCAAATTCGTACACAACTACTTTTCCATTAAACACTTTCACAAAAACAGATTTTTAATAATAATTTTTTCACAATTCCGTTGATACTTATAATTAACGATTCGTAAAATTTCAAAAGAATTTGAAAGAATATTTGTTCAATAGTCGATAAAATGGATCAATCTCGAAAAGAATTCAAAGAATAAAGAAGAGTGAGGAGAACGAACAGGTTCGACCCTATTGAAAATAGCGAACAGGGGAAGAGGAAGAAAAGGACAGGAGGAAGAGAGGAGAAGAATGAAGGGAAGGGTTGTGACAGGGAAACAGAGAGAGAGAGAGGAGAACGAAATAAGGGAGGGAGGAACAGAGGGACTAGGGAAAAAGAATTCTAACTGAAATAACATTGGATGATTGTGGTATTGTCAACCATAGTACTCGCGCACGCCTTCGCGTTTCTCTCCCCTTCTCTCCCTCTTTGACCCCCTCTCCCCCTCTCAAATCGTGTCCTTCCACCCCTAGAGGACCCGTCCTATCCTAGCTCTGCCTCGGTTTAGGCGCTAGAATATTAGGCGCTGGTGGACAGAATAGACGGTGGTGGCAAGGGGGATGAAACAACACCCCGTTCCCACCGATTCTCCCCTCTTTCAACGTCGCGGCCGCCTTTTTCTCGCTTCGCCCCCTGTCCTCCGCTATCCCATTCCCTAAATGCGGCCAATAAAAACAACACCGTACTCTCGCCACGAGAGCCACCGAGAGAGCAGAAGGATCGTGGATACAGTGAATTATAAAAATAACAGTGCGAAACGATCGAACAATCGCTCTCTTCATTCTCAATGCCTCGTCCGTGTCATTTCTCTGGCTCGCGAAAAATCTCCCCATTCAAGACCCGTGACAACTCTCTCTCTCTCCTCTCTCCTTCTCTGTCTTCCATGCTTGTTTATCTTCTTATTGTATCTGGACTGGATGAAAATTGTTGGAAAAATTGTTGAACAGGGAATAAGAACGATCTCGCCAATTCCAAAAAAGATCCATCCAAGATTCAATTTTTCTTTAATGGATAATAGTATATTTATAGTAATTTTTATACAATTTTTCTTATACCTCTGATATAACTTTATGTGGTACTTTTATTGTATCTTTTATTGAAAATTGTTGAGAACGATTTCATCAATTCCATAAAAGATCCATCCAACATTCAATTTTCCTTTAATGGATAATAGTATATTTATAGTAATTTTTATACAATTTTTCTTATACCTCTGATATAACTTTATGTGGTACTTTTATTGTATCTTTTATTGAAAATTGTTGAGAACGATTTCATCAATTCCATAAAAGATCCATCCAACATTCAATTTTCCTTTAATGGATAATAGTATATTTATAGTAATTTTTATACAATTTTTCTTATACCTCTGATATAACTTTATGTGGTACTCTTATTGTATCTCTTATTGGATGAAAATTGTTGAACAGAGAATGATTTCACCAATTCTAAAAAAGATCCATCCAAGGTTCAATTTTCCTTAAATGAACAATTGTATATTTATAGTTATTTTTATAGAATATTTCTTATATCTCTAATATAACTTTATGTGTTACTCTTATTATATCTCTTATTGACTGAAAATTGTTGGAAAAATGTTGAACAGAGAATAAGAACAATCTTGCCAATTCCAAAAAAGATCCATCCAAGATTCAATTTTCCTTTAATGCATAAAAGTGTATTTATAGTAATTTTTATAGAATCTTTCTTAACTTACGACAGTAGGTATGATACTCAAGATTAAATATATCTCTGATACAAGATAGAAGCAAATCCCATAATTTGGATCCGCACGAGGTTTCGATTCCTTCCCTTCTGTCATTCCGGCCGATGTTTTCCTTCTTTCCACCGGCATTCCACAGATTTTCTCCCGGGTTTTCGCAGCGTCCACCTCCCCCTCGAATTCCTCCTCTGTCCCCTCCCCGCCGCGCGGTGCACGCGAGTACACGAACGCCTACTCGCCTCGGCGAAGTCAAAGAGAGATAAAATCTATAAATATGTGGGAGGCGCACGCGACCCATTCCAGTGTTTGTTCAACCAAGAATAACCTCCGTTTCTTCATCGTACGCAGAACCCCGCAGAAGAGGCTGGTTTTGTGGCTTGACGCAAGCCTAATCCGGGGTGATGCTTCGTTAACCACCTCCGGCTATCCGAAAGATTTTCGTTAACAACTTGTGCGTTATCAACGTTCGTTCGCGAACCCATCGTGGACACGGTGCGACGATTTCTCTCTTGAGAATGTAACGTCATCGATGGCTCGAAGAAAGTCTTGACTCGACGGTTGAAAAATTCTTCGAACGGAACAGGAAGGATGACATCGTGGAAGGAGAAAAAGGTAACGGTTCCCTACGAAGAAAGAATTATTTTTTATTATTTGCGAAGAGTTGAAAATAAAATCGTTGCTTCTTATGATAAAATTAAACAGAAAATTTAGATAGAAGAATTCTTGGAATAAAAGAGAAGGATGACATAGGAAAGTTAAAAATAAAATCATTGCTTCTTAATAAAATTAACCACAGAATGTGATTAGATAGAAAAATTCTTCGAATGGAATATTCTTCGAAGGATGATATCGTAGGAGAAAAGGGATCAAATCCTTACGAGAAAAGAATTTATTTATGGAGAGTTCAAAATATGAGTTCAAGATGATTTCTTCTTAATAAAATCAATCGTAGAACATAATTTCTTTAATGTAAATATTAAATTTATTACATTCCTTATTTTCATCATATAAATAAAAATTTTCGTGTTGATATGTCACTTAATTAATATTCAATAATCAACAATTTATAGAGAGTTCAAAATAAGACGATTGCTTCTTAATAAAATCAATCGTAGAACATAATTCCTTTAATATAAATATTACATTCCTTATTTTCATCATACAAATAAGGATCTTTGTGTTGATATGTCACTTAATATTCAATGATCAATTGTACATCATTCGTGACGATCAATATTTCGTTAAATTCATTAAATTCATTATATTTCTCATGATATTCTTAAAATCATACTCAATCATCCAACGGTGGAATTCGAACAATTTGTCCGCCCAAGCTGTTCATTCGAGCGAAAGTTAGTTAGCTAGACGTGAACCGGCAGCAGAGGGGAATTAGTTAGCGGTAAACACACCTCATCAATCTTCCTCGAACGTCGTCGTTCTCTTCATCATCGCGACACGGTGTACCAACGATCTGAAATATCCGCGACACGTGTCTCCATTAAAGTGGCGCCCGTTAAGAACACCACGAATATACGTCATTTTCTGGGTGAATCGTTGGAAAGCTCGTTCTCTACAGGGAATTTATGAACTGTCTGGAAAGCGTAACACGTTCGTCAAAAATTTTAGACCGCAACTGGATCATTTGAAAGATATTAAATAGAACACGAAGAGAACTTAAATTAAATTATATCGTAGATGGATGTACAACTCTTACGATCATAAGTTAACCAAATTGCCTGTTTTATCCATCTATAAAGTTTTCAATGTTCCTTTTAAATCCTTTTAAAAATTCTAAGAATATTATATTAACATCTCTGTTTCCTTCAATTTTATTTATTTATAAACGTTCAGATGGATCTAGAATATCGCAAAGGATCAATAGTCAATAATGATTAAAAATAAAGTTTGATTTATTACAATAATCAATACTTTTCCTTTAAATTTCACTTTCCTTTCTCGATTAAAGAAAAGCATTAAATACATTCCATCTTCATCAAAATCCTTTTAATTCTAAGAATATTATATTCGTTAACATCTGTGTTTCCTTCAATTTTATTTATTTGTAAACATTCAGATAGATTTAGAATATCGCAAAGGATCAATAGTCAATAATGATTAAAAATAAAGTTTGATTTATTACAATAATCAATACTTTTCCTTTAAATTTCACTTTCCTTTCTCGATTAAAGAAAAGCATTAAATACATTCCATCTTCATCAAAATCCTTTTAATTCTAAGAATATTATATTCGTTAACATCTGTTTTCTTCAATTTTATTTATTTGTAAACGTTCAGATAAATCTAGAATATCGCAAAGGATCAATAGTCAATAGTGATTAAAAGTAAAATTAATTTATTACAATAATCAATACTTTTCCTTTAAATTTCACTTTCCTTTCTCGATTAAAGAAAAGCATTAAAAACATTCCATCTTCATCAAAATCCTTTTAATTCTAAGAATATTATATTCGTTAACATCTGTTTTCTTCAATTTTATTTATTTGTAAACGTTCAGATAAATCTAGAATATCGCAAAGGATCAATAGTCAATAGTGATTAAAAGTAAAATTAATTTATTACAATAATCAATACTTTTCCTTTAAATTTCACTTTCCTTTCTCGATTAAAGAAAAGCATTAAAAACATTCCATCTTCATCAAAATCCTTTTAATTTTAAGAATATTATATTCGTTAACATCTTTATTTCTCTTCAATTTTATTTATTTATAAACGTTCAGATGGATCTAGAATATCGCAAAGGATCAATGAATAATATAATAATGATTAAAAGTAAAGTTTGATTTATTACAATAATCAATACTTTTCCTTTAAATTTCACTTTCCTTTCTCGATTAAAGAAAAGCATTAAAAACATTACATTTTCATCAAAATCCTTTTAAAAATTCTAAGAATATTATATTCGTTAATATCTCTGTTTCCTTCAATTTTATATATTTGTAAACGTTCAGATGGATCTAGAATATCGCAAAGGATCAATAGTCAATAAAGATTAAAAATAAAGTTTGATTTATTATCAATATATCAATAATATCAATAATTTATTATCAATAATCAATACTTTTATACTTTAAATTTCACTTTCCTTTCTTGATTAAAGAAAAGCATTAAATACAATAATCAGTACTAGTAACTGTAATTCACCACATAACGAAATATAACGTGTATAACACTACGTTATTCCACGAGGCGACAAAGCCAAATAAACAAAATTAATCACAATCCTCCGGTACTCGAAGGAAGGTAGCCGAGTGTCGAAGATCGGAAAGTTGATTCTCCCATTCTCTCCGCGTGCGATAATTATCGCGGAATCTTTGGTGGCTCGTTCGCTTTAGGAAGGAAGACTCGAAATGTTTAAGAGGAGCCGGAGGGCCGGTGTCGAGAAAGGTCCGCCATTCTCGACACCTGGCAACAGCCAATGGCAGGATAAAGCGGACAGGAGAGAGCTTTTCGTCCTCGAACGCCACACCCTTCATTGTGACCACATATCGACCGAGTCTCTCACAGCTTGGGGCTGCGTACCCCGTACTAATTGTAAGTACTCTTGCCGTGTACTTGTGCGCGCATGTGTGAGAGTGCAACGCTTGCCAACTGGGTGCCACTGAGCGCGCGCGCAAGTCTCTCACACTCGTGAACACGGTGACCTCCATGGAACCAATGCACCAATTTTTACTACTTTACTCTCCAGGATCCTCTTGTTATCGATTAACACGTTATCGATAAATAACATGGGTTGTGGTATCATTTTTTAGAATCTTATCTGTGACGAAATTCGTTTCATTATCATTTATTATTTTCCGGTTGATGTGTAGAGATTTCAATGGTAGAATCGAGTAAAATATTCTTTTAAGATTCCTTCTCTGTCGCTTTAAAAAAAAAATAAATAAAATAATTAAATTACTTTGAATTTTATATTTATTAGGATTATATATATTAGAAATATTTGAAATATTTAGAATTAAATTAGATAAGAATTAAACGGTAAATACGAAATTCGTTTTATTACTTATTAGTTTTGAGCATCGTTGATGTGTAGAGATTTCAATGGTAAAATTAAGTAAAATATTCTTTTAAGATTCCTTCTCTGTCGCTTTAAAAAAAAGAAATAAAATAATTAAATTACTTTCAATTTTATATTTGATTATATATATTAGGAATATTTGAAATATTTAGAATTAAATTGGATAAGGATTAAATGGTAAATACAAAATTCGTTTCATTACCAGACTTATTTAGAGTATTATTTTCGGGCATCATGCAAAATATTCTTTTAAAGATTCCTTCTCTGTCGCTTTAAAAAAAAAAGAAGTAAAATAATTAAATTACTTTCAATTTTATATTTGAAATATTTAGAATTAAATTGGATAAGGATTAAATGGTAAATACAAAATTCGTTTCATTACCAGACTTATTTAGAGTATTATTTTCGGGCATCATGCAAAATATTCTTTTAAAGATTCCTTCTCTGTCGCTTTAAAAAAAAAAGAAGTAAAATAATTAAATTACTTTCAATTTTATATTTGAAATATTTAGAATTAAATTGGATAAGTGGTAAATACAAAATTCGTTTCATTACCAGATTTATTATTTTCGGGCATCATGTAAAATATTCTTTTAAAGATTCCTTTTTTGTCGCTTTAAAAAAAAAGAAGTAAAATAATTAAATTAAAATCAATTTTATATTTGAAATATTTAGAATTAAATTAGATAAGGATTAAACAGTAAATACAAAATTCGTTTCATTACCAGATTTATTATTTTCGGGCATCATGTAAAATATTCTTTTAAAGATTCCTTTTTTGTCGCTTTAAAAAAAAAGAAGTAAAATAATTAAATTACTTTCAATTTTATATTTGAAATATTTAGAATTAAATTAGATAAGGATTAAACAGTAAATACAAAATTCGTTTCATTACCAGACTTATTATTTTTCGGCATCGTGTAAAATATTCTTTTAAAGATTCCTTTTCTCGCTTTAAAAAAAAGAAATAAAATAATTAAATTACTTTCAATTTTATATTTGATTATATATATTAGGAATATTTGAAATATTTAGAATTAAATTAGATAAGGATTAAACAGTAAATACAAAATTCGTTTCATTACCAGACTTATTATTTTTCGGCATCGTGTAAAATATTCTTTTAAAGATTCCTTTTTTGTCGCTTTAAAAAAAAAGAAGTAAAATAATTAAATTACTTTCAATTTTATATTTGAAATATTTAAAATTAAATTGAATAAGTGATAAATACAAAATTCGTTTCATTACCAGATTTATTATTTTCGAGCATCGTGTAAAATATTCTTTTAAAAATTCCTTTTCTGTCGCTTTAAAAAAAAAGAAGTAAAATAATTAAATTACTTTCAATTTTATATTTGAAATATTTAGAATTAAATTGGAGAAGGATTAAATGGTAAATACAAAATTCGTTTTATTACCAGACTTATTTATAGAGTATTATTTTCGAGCATCGTGTAAAATATTCTTTTAAAAATTCCTTTTCTGTCGCTTTAAAAAAAAAGAAGTAAAATAATTAAATTACTTTCAATTTTATATTTGAAATATTTAGAATTAAATTAGATAAGCATTAAACAGTAAATACAAAATTCGTTTCATTACCAGACTTATTATTTTTCGTGTAAAATATTCTTTTAAAGATTCCTTTTCTGTCGCTTTAAAAAAAAGAAATAAAATAATTAAATTACTTTCAATTTTATATTTGATTATATATATTAGGAATATTTGAAATATTTAGAATTAAATTGGATAAGGATTAAATGGTAAATACAAAATTCGTTTTATTACCAGACTTATTTATAGAGCATTATTTTCGGGCATCGTGTAAAATATTTTTTTTAAAAATTCCTCCTCTGTCGCTTTAAAAAAAAAAGAAATAAAATAATTAAATTACTTTGAATTTTATATTTGATTATATATATTAGGAATATTTGAAATATTTAGAATTAAATTGGATAAGGATTAAATGGTAAATACAAAATTCGTTTTATTACCAGACTTATTTATAGAGCATTATTTTCGGGCATCGTGTAAAATATTTTTTTTAAAAATTCCTCCTCTGTCGCTTTAAAAAAAAAGAAATAAAATAATTAAATTACTTTCAATTTTATATTTGATTATATATATTAGGAATATTTGAAATACTTAGAATTAAATTGGATAAGGATGAAGGATTAAGCGGTAAATACGAAATTCGTGTACAGCCACGAGGTATGAGGCGAGTGTGCGGTCAGGTTGAGGGCAATAACCATCCACTTTAGGCTCAGCAAGGTTTCTATATGGCACGAGAATGCGGAGCTACCCTAGGTAACCCTCGAATAATATTTTGATATCCCCCGGCCAGGACTTTTCTCCTCGTCCGATCCGCCACATATCAACGGCAGGAAATTATTTTTCACACTCCCGTATCCTTTTCCTCCGCTCCCTTTTCCACGATACTCCAGCGCTGCCTTCCCTGAAGAGATGAAAAGGAAATTCAGTTTCCACGTAGACGAAACTCGTTTAACGATTGTATATTAAATAATTAGAATTGAATCTTGTTTCAGGAAATCACAAATTTTTCAAAACATTTATCATATTTTATCACAGTAGATAGAAGTATTCAAAAATTGGTTCAACAATAATATTTTTCAAAAAATATTTCAAAGTCACTTTTATTATCTTTACAATATCTTTAATTTTGTATTCATCGAATGATTACGAATATATTTAATTTGAGACAAATATTTATTACTGTACCATTTACTTTGACATTTGATTAATTATAAATCCAATGTCCAATCCAAATAAAATATAAAAATTAAAAAGAAAAATTCCTTCGAGAAATTACATTATCCTTACTACTTCATTCATTATTAATTTATCTGTGTAAAAGAAAAATTTCTGTTTCAATCGAACAAAGGCACGAATAGGAAAACACGAGGCATACGAACCGATTACACGAAAACAGAAGATCATATCTTCTGGCGCAGGACTCCCACGGAAGGGGGCGTAACACAGTTGCGCAGGTATGTATACACACATGTATACCTATATATATAGCCAAACGAGGATGCAGTGGAGCAGCGAGCAGTCCGGCCTAAATGTTATTCCATGCGACAGAGATTGCTTCTTCAGGTAACACGGTCCAGCCGCCGCCGACCTAGACGTTGGACGACCTGCACGAGAGAGAGGAGTTCGTCAAATATGTATGCGGATAAACACGGGCAACGTTGACAGAAATAATATCCGCGGGTGAAGGCGATTGCACCTGTCGGCCCCGCCGTAGAAA